CCCATAACTACGCCCTGCATAAACATGATTGTAGCGCAATTTGCAAATTATCAAAGAACGATGTCTATGGATACTCTGTGCTAACCAAGAATTTAGGCAATTCTTCTCAATTAATCTCATATGACAATCAATCAAAGTGAGTATTTTTCTTGATCTTTTTTTTTTGCTGAAGCTCTCTGCTCAGGATTTTTAATTTGTCTCGTAATATATTTATATGCTTATATCTTGGCACAGCTTGACCCTTCGACACGATGATGCTTTGTGTGCTTCCTTCATTCTCTCTCTTGTATTCTATCTCTTGCTTCCTCTCTCTTTTCTCGAGAATATACCTTCGTTGATTTGAGGAAGTACTGACTTTCGTCGTGCGACTCGCGACGGTAATTACGCGAGGGAAACTGCCGTCGAAGGGTAACGCCCGTGCAGACGTCGCAGCCGGTTTGTCCCCGGGAGCCTGCAAGCTCCATAATCGCATGCTTCCCGGAGTCGACCTAAGTGGAAACGAGAGCGACCGGGCCCTGAGGCCCGGCGCCGTTCGGAGCACAAAGACGACGTCGTCTGATCGTCGAGTTTAGCTCTCGTTTCGTACGGACATTGGTAAAAATAACCACGGCAAAAGAGCGATTTCGCGCGAAAAGAGCGCTCGATTTCAAGAACACGACACTACTATCAACAACTATGCACGCCGGCCGGCCGCTGTGCACGTACTGAAGTACTGGACCCGAGCGCTGACAAGTAGAGAGAGAGAGAGAGAGAGGAGGGGGGAGGGAGGGAGAGAGAGAGAGAGAGAAAGAGAGAGACTCATTCGGTCGACGCTCGCGACCTCGGTCGTGCTCGGCTATCTTCGTATCCTGTGCTTTGGCCCTGTTCACCGCGCAGCCACGTTACTTCCCGGCGATCTCTCCCTCAGCCGCCCGACGTCGTCAATATACGACAAAGGCTTCCAACGAGAGAAGCTCTCACTACGCTGCGAGCTCTTGCCGCGAAAAGCTGGTGTGAACGACGTTCTGCCATTGCCGCGTAGAAAGGGAGGGAACCCGAGGAGCGCACGAGGAGAAAGGATCAATAACAGATCTCTCCCTACTCTCGTGAAACACGACGTAGGGTAAATGTGCGCGATGTACGCACGGCATTTACATATGGATAGACAGACAGGCGCACCCTGTCAACAGCTCATTTTCCTGGAGCAAATTTGCATGCTCCTTTTTGTTTTTGCAAGACAGGTGGAAACACAATTTATCTCACTGTCTTACGAGATTTTGCGAAATCACGTAAGAGCGACAGTAGTATAAATGACATTTAAAAAGATTTCAATTGTGAGCAGTGTTTTAAAGAATTTTTGTGAGAAATTTAGAAATTAAGTGCCGCGACATATTTTACATTCCTTTTGTAATTTCTAGGAATATATATATTCCTTTTGTAATATATATATATATAAAGAAATACAGAGCAGGGAGGGGGGGGGAGAGAGAGAGAGAGAGAAAGGGGGTAGGGGGAGGAACAAGAGGAGGAGATAAAAGCTTATGAATGTCTAAATAAAATCTTTTCGAGAAATCAACAAAATGTTTAAACAAGTATATCATATTTTGTTCACAATATAAGTTATGAATATATTACAAAAAATACACATTATACAAATAGTATATGGATTCATATGAGAATAGTTGATTCATTGTCGACGAGTTTCTGAATCAGCTTAAAAAAGCTTAGATCGCAAAACGATTAATTAGAAAAATGTGTCCTTTTTAAAAATATAATATTACCTATTTCTGTCTCTCATCTGTTCTTATCTGGTTATCTGTTCTTTCATATGTTTCAACTCATATGGTACTGATGTCATAGTTTAAGAAAGAATAGATTTATTTGTCAGTGTTTTCAGTTGACACATTAATTATTTTTGATCAATTTAATTAATTATATATATGATTTCTAGTAGAAGCTATTTACTGAGAAACTAATTTTTAATTCATTCTCACTTATCAATATCAATCGAAAAAGGTCACAAAGGTCATTTTTTTAGAAGGATCTTGGAGTCGCATCTGTTTTGTTTACCGAACGCAATTATTTTTCAGCACTTTATTTTTCTAATTGCAATTTACATAAATTTAATAATCCTTTTTCACGAAGATTTAAATAAAGTAATTTCAATTTTTGGAAAAAAATTTTTTTAATGATAGTCCTTTTTTTACATTGATGAAAGGTCAATGCCTATGACACGGCACGCTTAATCGGGTTTAATAACATCTGTAGTTATGAAATTGGCCAATTATAGCTGTTTCTCGAAAGAATAGAACGACTGTGATTGGTCAGTTTCATAAACCCGATTAAGGCCCGATTGCACCAACGTTAATTTTATTTTAAGCGAGGCTTAAAACTCTTTCTGTCTCTGTCTCTTTTTAGCTTTAAAACGAGACAGATAGAGTTTTAAGTCTCGCTTAAAGTCAAAGTGACATTAGTGCAACTGGGCCTAAGAATGTTATGTAAATGTAGTCTATATTATAATCTATTTTCCATGAGTCATATTAACATGTGTTATAACAATAAATCATTTATAATTATTAAGATTTCGTTATTACTACTTAAAACTTTAAGTAGTTTGTAGAATTGATATTCGTGATATTTTAGGAAGAATATCTACGTTAGTATTTTGCCTTCAATTTTATGTAAAATTTCATATTCATCGCGTTAAACGGAAAAGCAAAGTTAATGATTTATGATTAGAGATTATTTTGAATCTTTAACCATAAATATATAACCGAAAATTTCGTCGTCTAAGAACATGATAGCTAAAAGTTTCGTTTCCGTGATGTCATAATTAATGTAATTCCGCTAAGTATTCCGTAAGTAATAAGAGATTGGAAGACATTTCTATCTTTTTTTGTGATATAACTGTAGCAATTTCTCCATCACTGATAGTGTAAATTCGTAAAGTAGATAATTTGCGAATTAGACAATTGTTCGCTTAATGATTTTTATAAATAATTTTCGCACTTAAATTTGGCGGGATTTAAAGATTCTCGCGCATGCTCACAGACGAGCACCAATAGCATACGCGAGAAGCGAATTAAGAAAACAAGCCCGCGTCTTTTGTCTTCGTTAATTCTCAACAAGTCGTTCGGTTTTCAATTTTCGTTTTCATTCTAACAATTCGTTCTTCTAACCGATACATCATAACAGGTTATCAGTCCAGTGAACACGTAGTACTTGATAGATGAAGTGCAACGAATGTAACATAAAAGCACATGGCACGTGAGTTTAGTCATCAGAAAGATAGATATTTATCGTTATTCTCTGAATTCACGGCGGAATGAAAAATATTTCACAT